CCCACCCCACCTTTTTGCCCCACCTCCCCTTCCTCCCCCTCCTCCCCTCCCCGCCTCATGCTTTTGTTAAGCTAGTGGTGCCTCAGCCCATATAGTAGCTTAAATTTAAAGCCAGGCATCAATTAAAACCAGACATCCCAATTCTCCTGAAGTTCCGGAATGATGTGCAGTGTCCCAGCAATCTGTTGTTATTCCGCCATTCAGCAATAAAATTTGCCGACAATAATTGTGGCAAATTTTGTCACCACACCCTCCCCCCATTTGACAGATTTTACCATCAGTATTACCCCCCAACCCCACCTCCTCAAAAAATTCAGCCTCACTAAATGTTTCATGGGGGTTTCTGTTTAATGGCAATAAGTTTATCATTTTTAAGGAATCGTTTTTTTTCTCTGCTCATTCAGATGATCGTTTTGCTCCCCGGCTGTGATGGGTGATGATAGTTCAGTCATCGACCAGCCAGGCCTTCGGCTCGTTGAAATCGATCAATGCCGCCAAATATTATGGCACAAAAGTAAAAGGGGGAGCCTCGGAGAAACACGGGTCTAAGCAAAGAATGGGATTCTTTGATGAGTTTTCACTGCCCGGGGAGAGAAAATGGGAAAAAGATGGTCACTCAGTCACTGGGACTCCACTTAGTGAGTGTGACCAACATTGATCAGGCTCTTTGGACTGACCGGTACTGTGTCGGAAGGTCCCTTATGAGCCTGTGGTCCTTTGATTCATTCATTAGTTTGTCCCTTGTGAACTTCTACACATTAGATTCATCGATCTCTACCTGTCTTAAGGTCTTTTGTAAGCCTCTGTACGTTCATCCATGGGCGTTTGCCTGCATTTTGTCCTTTGAGGGCTTCCGTACATTAGCTTTATCGATCTCTACCTGTCTTAAGGTCTTTTGTAAGCCTCTTTATGTTCAAATGAATCAATGCCAGTCTGCAGGTTCATTGTGGGCCTTTGTACTTTATCTATGTCCGTGTGTGTTTGTAGGTCTGTGGGCCTGATTACATTGCTTATACCAGTGTCTATCTGTGGGCCCCTTGTGAGCCTCAGAGTTAGATTTGTCACCATCTGTCTGCATTTCGGTGCCGACTCTGTCCGTTAGTTTCTCCCATGCATTAGCTTAATCGCCATTTGTGGCGCCACCGTACGTTAGTTTTACCGAACTCATGCACAGGTCTGGATGCACAATGAAGCACAAGCCTAACGCTGCTAATCGCCATCAAATTGGCAGTACAAGCCTGAGCATTTAATCATGATCTCTGTTTTATTTCGAACCGTGTGACTTACAGACAATTCAGAGCCGCGGCTGAGTGTGTAATGCCGCACGAGCAGCTCCGCCATCTGGCCTCCCGTAGCCAGAATGATAATGGTGCCTTAAATGAGTCTTTTCACTGGTTGTTAACACGCTGTTGTGAGTCTGGCCTCGTCAATCATTCGCTCCCTTCGCATCTTATTTACACTTGTATTTATAAGTTGTTATTGCCTTCACACATCTGCCTGCTGGGTTTGCTTAGCTGATGTGCCTCTTGCATTCATTTAGAGCTGTCGTGCTAATTTATTTTCGTTTTTATTTAGACGGTTACATATCTGTCACAGAAATGCATTAGTAGAGCTACAGTTGAAGTTGCAGTTGTCCTTGACGTGCCCTTGATGCACCCTTGCAGTGCCCTTGATGCACCCTTGGAGTGCCCTTGATGCACCCTTGGAGTGCCCTTAATGTCCCCTTGCAGTGCCCCTGGAGTGCCCTTGATGTACCCTTGCAGTGCCCTTGATGCACCCTTCCAGTGCCCTTAATGTCCCCTTGCAGTGCCCCTGGAGTGCCCTTGGTGCACTCTTGCAGTGCCCTTGATGCACCCTTGGAGTGCCCCTGGAGTGCCATTGATGTGCCCCTGATGTGCCCATGCCACACAAACAGCTATGCCCTCCTCCCACAGGTGACCACCCATTCGAATGCGAGTTCTGTGGCAGCTGCTTCCGGGACGAGGCCTCGCTGTGCGGACACAAGCGGACGCATACAGGGGAGAAGCCCTACGAGTGCAACGGCTGCGGGAAGAGGTTCAGCCTGAAGCACCAGCTGGAGACTCACTATCGCGTGCACACAGGTAAGAGGTCAGAGAAAAGCCAATCAAGGCTTGGCATGTCCCCCAAACCCTCAGCCCTGACTTCTGTAGGATGTCATCTAGGAGCAGGTATTGCTGAATATTTAAGTGGAGCAACTGGAATGAAGTGTTTGGGCTTTAAGTGAGCAGGCATCTTCTGCAGTGTAAACCTGCCAGTCAGGTTTCTGTAGGCTTACAGTGCTGGGCAGGACTATCAACATCAAGACAGTGTACGTTTGGGCTGGTTAGATCTAGCTGCATCCTACTTGCATGTGGCACGCACTGCCTTTTGGCACATGTCAGCTATCTAAATTCCGGTTGGGCCTTCCATTTGTGGAAGGTGCAGGGGGTCATTAGTTCTGCCAAATCGCTGGTCCTGGCAGAGCCTGCTAATGGTTAGGATTAGAGTTAGAGTTGCGGTTATGGCGCTCTGTCAAACCTGGGGGGTGTTCCACAAAGCAGGATTTCTCCGTTAGCTGGGTTTAACTTAGCTAGAACTCATGATTGTCCAATAAGAGTTTAGGTAAGGAGAATTTCTATTGGACAAGCTTGACCTTTAGCTAAGTTAAACCCAGCTAACGGAGAAATCCTGCTTCGTGGAACACCCCCCTGGTTGGTTTGTTAGCTGCCCTGCAGACTTGAGTATGTGAGAGGACAGGAGACGAGGCATGATGAGAGGATGTCCGCCTTGAAGTAAATACCTTGGGTATGGCTTTTATGTTGTGCCCACCATCTGCACATCTGATTGGTAGAATGTGGCTTACTGCTTCCACCTAATGTTTTGAAGAAGAACTGCACCAGACGAAGACCCCTGTTTATTGTTCTCTCACCATCTTTTAATCTTTTAATCTGCTATAATCTTTTTTTCTTTCCATCCAGTGTGCAGTCTGTACACATTATGACATTGACATCTTAAGCCCCAGAAATGTCCTAATGCGATATTTGTGTCATCAATTTTCATTGTAAAAACAATATGTATCATAAACTTTTCAAATTATTGACATGACCCACAGACCATTAAGAATGTTGATTACATAGTTACAGCCCATAGTCTGTGATGATATGATTTGATAATAAGGATAAAATCCACTGTGTTACGCTGTCTCTCAGACTCAAGGTGTTATGCTATCATTAGCGCATTGACGTTAACGCGTATCTTGTAGATTTGCTCTCAGCCGTGTGAGCAGTTCTCTCTAGGGGATTCATCAGGGACACTGTTACGTTTTACGCAAGAGATCTCGCTTTCACCGAAAACGTGAAAAATTTAACGGAAAATCCTTGGAGGTAATCGGCGTTAGATGAAGCGGAGTCTTCATTCTGTAAAAGTGCGTTTCGCACATGTTTCTGCTAATTGGCACATCTTCTGAAAGGCTGCCTCTGTGCTCTGCTATCCCCCAACCCCCCCACCCCCCACCCAGGCGAGAAGCCCTTCGAGTGCAAGTTGTGCCACCAGCGCTCGCGGGACTATTCAGCGATGATCAAACACCTGCGCACACACAACGGCGCCGCTCCCTACCAGTGCACAGTGTGTCTGGAGTTCTGTCCCAGCCTGTCCGCCATGCAGAAGCACATGAAGGCTCACAGGGCAGAGGACGTTCCCCCAGACTGGAGGATAGAGAAGACCTACCTGTACCTGTGCTACGTGTGAACAGAGGAGGCGGAGGGAATCTGTGCAACGACAGCCCTAAGGGAGGAGGAGTGCTGTTCCCATGTTTAAGTCTGACTCTCAAGCATTTAAAGTGAGATCTCCCCCCTAAAAGAAGATCCACAGACATGAAAGGGGGCGGTGAAGATGAACTAACGGAGCTTTCTGCCATTTAACCCGCGTTTGATGGAGTTTCGACAAGCAATGACAGATTCACGGGCAAGCATGTCCGCCATGATCTCCACAGTGCAGTTTATCTCAATCGAAACCACCGCTTGTCCTGACGGGGTAGCAGTGATGTTTAGCAGCACCAGCCATCTGTCCTCTACCTAGTTAAAGTTACTCCTTCCCCCCCCCCCATTCCCCTCACTCCATTTCTAGAGGTCAAACTTCCTCTTTCAGACCTTTGAGATCAGCCCCCAGTCCCTGCCATCAGCTATCTCTTAGGGACATCCCAGTTCTGAATGAGGTATATAATTTTTCAAAACGACCCAGCAATTTCTCCAAAGAATACTGACGTGGTTCGCTGCATTACCAGGTTGATGCGTTTTGAAAGACGCCTCTCTTGCTCACACCCCGACGTTCCGTTTGCTCGGCTGATCACTCGTGCATTTGTTTGTTGTCGTTTGTTTTGTGGCCTCATCTGATGCTTCAGGAATTCTTATTTTGCACATTGTTTGCCTGCAATGTTTATATAAATGATTGCAAAAGGCAGTAACGAAATTAAGAAGCCAGGGTTGTATCTCCTGGCACCCTCGTCCTATTATATGAATTTGGGAATGGGGAAATAAATGGCTAAAACCCTAAAAAGCGGAAAAAGCTTACAATGTCTTTGCAGATTAATATGATTAATATCTGCACAGCAGTGTGTGATAGTATGAATGCACTGGATAGTGATTGCAGAAATAAGATGATGATCTTTTTAAGATGAGAATATGCGTTTTTTCTGTTAGCACAAACTCTTTATATGTTTTCAACTTTTTCGCTATTGATAAAATTAATATTGTGTATTTTTATTACTGTTTTATTTTCTTAATTTGATTTTTTTGGTAGATTCTTGCATTGTAATTATGATGATGTGGCAAAACTGAATGCCAGCTTGAGAAGCGAAGCAGTTTCTACTTGAAATTTAAGGTGTGAACAAGCTGTAGTGTCAGAGGAAACGATCCTGTTTTAAGCTGATGATTCAGGCCATTGTGGCTTAAACGAGTTGGAAGGCTTCTTAGAACAACTAACAAGGGTCAATTAACCCTAACCACTATCACTTGCCCTTGTATGTCGCTTTAATCTAAAAGGAGGAAATGTTACTCAGCGTGATTGTACAGTAATCGTCTAATAATTAATTAAAATGCCATAAATTTTCTTTCATAATTTACTCAATTTCCATGTGTTTCTGTAAGCAAGAGCTGGGTCATTAGTGTTCACATTTCTCAAGCGATTTGTAATAATTATGAATATTTTATATATACAGTGAAATGTTTGTAGAGGTATTTTGGTTATGATCATATAACTGAATATTTGTGGGGGAGCAAAGGAAATGGAGTACTATGGAATCTCTGCTGTGTGATGTGTTCTAGAACAATCTAGAACGGGTAATTGCTGTTGTAAATAGAACATTGTAGGATGGGTAACCATTTTATGCAGTGCTGCTGGGCATGTGCTGTTTATTAAATTTATTTAGTAATGAATCACCACAAATGTCTGTTCTCTTATGTCTTATCTCTACAGACCAGTAGCCCTTTTGGGCTCAGGAATATCTCCCCTTTCTGTCTTGTCTATGGCTTTAATTCTTGTGGGACAGCACATGTGGCAGTCAGGTTGGTTTTTTTTGTATAAAGAACATATTTTAATTTGTTTTAGTTGATCTACCTCAGCACCTTCAGCATCGTCACCCCTGTTTAGGTGAACGAATATTGCTCTTTATAGCCTCACAAGGTCACAGACCTTTCTGACGCCAAAATGACTAATTGTGTATAGGTGTGTTTGTGATTGCCATTTCCGGAATTTTCGAGTGTAGATGTAGTGCTGTTCTTCACAGTGTCATCTGGGTTCTGGAGAAGCAAAAAGCGATGGAACGCTGCAGGCTTTCCTCTGTCTTTCTGCGGAGGCTACCTGTGCCTTCAGAAGTACACAGATTTTCTACAACCAGCCTAACAGTAGATTGTCCTGTAGTGAACGTCCCTTCAATTTTGTCTTTATGAGCAAAATTCATTGGATTCTTTTATCTGCACTTAAAATAAAATAAAGTCTTAAATTCCAGTTAGTTCTGTCCTGCGTTTTTGTGTGCTTCTCTGTGGGTGAGGGGGCCGTGTCATTCCCGTTACAGTGACCAGAATTATATGCCTGTTTCGTTACCGTGCTTCTCACAGCTTGGGCAGCATGAGCTTTGCAGGTGGAATTTGCTGAATCGATAAATGGTAGCTCAACAGATAGAATTCACAAACTTCCATAAAGTCACAAAATAATCCAAATGGGACAAATGAGCTTTGCGGGCAGCCTTCACTGCAGTGAGCAGTATTCCCTTTTGCCACTGGGAGCATGAAGTAGGTTTTTTATTTATCAGTAAATTAATCATAAAGCTAGTGATACTGATTCATTAATCCACTTATTGATCATTTAAGTCGGCACAATGATATTTTTTTTAAATTTGGTGTTTTTTTTTATTTGTGAATTAGTTTTCTGTAATCTTGAAATGAAGCAGGTGTGATTCTGCTGCACCAATATTCGCAGGAAACCTACATGCACGTTTGTGAGCCCTGCCCTTTACTACACTTACTGTTGATCCCTGCCTAATTGTGGGAAGTGCCCTCTTGTGGCGAGACACAGGTATGACACAAACATGAAACAATGCTTTAGCATGCATTTGAACAACTACAAATACACTGGAAAGCTTTAGTTTCTGCGTATCCCATCTTGCTCTCCTTTATGACAAACTCACATCAAGCGTTGAGAGTTAACATTCGAGACTGAACAGAAGGTCAGCCATTTATCTGCCGTCCCTGTAGCTTCATGTATTAATTATATGCCTATTTGATTGCCGTGTTGTACCCTTAGACAGTGTAGCACTGTAAAACAGATTATTGGAGTGTTGTACTTGTCTATATCCAGATAAACTGTAGACTGGTAAGGAGGCAGTTATAATTATACGGCGCAGTGTGGTAGGTGACTGAAGCAGTGACAGTGACAAGCAGGAGCTCTCCAAAGCCCCACACTGTCATCGGTTACACTGGGATTGATGGAATGCTGACATTTTGGCAGTTTTTTTTTCGTGGGAGACGTGTAAAGCTCCTACGCTTCATGTACAAGCATCTGCTCATCCCACACCTGCCAAGTGCATTTTCTTCAAGGTGATTTTTTTGTCTAGAGGATGAGCAGCAGTAGCAATATGCAAATCCCTGGCTTTAATATGTAACATTACACCACCTTCCCAGTTGGGTTTGATAATCGCATTTACACTGTCCTCTGTTATAATGTGATAATCACCTCTAAACTGCCCTCTCCACTGCACTGAAATAATCATACTTACTTAGCGATAATTGCAGTTATTAGGAACATCAGGATATTATGTGTGAAAATAACAGCTGAAGCACAACAGGTTTTAAAGGAATATTTTACTGTTATAAAATGTCAAGGCACACACTTTTAACAGCTTTCACAGGAGATACTTTCCACATGATTTTACACCGACTGATAAAAAATAAAATCGGATATCTTCAATTCAGTAATTAAGCATATAAATACTGTTACTTGTTATTAAATCAATTTGGAGTGTTTTACTACACAGAATGACCAGTAATAATACAACACTAAATACTTTTTTAACAGTTATTCACTGATACAATTGATGACAGCAATGTAAATGCAATATGAAATAATGAAATACAGAATGTTTGACGATTAACAGTCAAGATGCATTTGCATGTACCCTTGTTACTGTCAGGTGCTGCTTTGTCACCGTCGTTTGGACCAGCCTGCAATCGCAGCACTTCCCCTTCTGCTGTTAGTTTGTGCTTCACAGTGGGTATGGGCTGTAGGGCTCAGACGTACTGCCACACGGACCACAGGGTGCCCAGTGTGATGCTGTATGTCACCATGGCCATCAGGTAGAGACGGAAGAGCAGCACGTCCAGCACATAGCCCACCTGCAGCCACTCCCGTGCGATCTCCCGGTACTCCTCTCTCCTCTCCAGGAACTGTCGGATGGACGAAACCTCCAGCAGGACGCTGTCCATGACCGCCTCCCCGGCCCTCGCACCTTGGGCCGGCTCCGCCCTACCCACCATGTCCGCTCTCGGCTGGCTGCCGTGGTGATTGCACTGAGCTGTGGGACACAAGACAATATGTCACCATAATTTGGGGTTTCACGTTTAGACAGAACCTCTGACGTCGACTCCTACTGGGATTCACGCCGTTCCCGTTGCAGCGCAGTGGGTCCGGATCTCGGGATGGGTCGGGACCGAGCCTGTGCTGGTTCCGGATGCAGAGCAGCACCGTGGCCTTCTCCAGCACCAGGTGTTTGACCCAGTCGGGGACGTGTGGCTGAAGATCCTGCTTGTGAACCAGCCGTACGATTACAACTGTCTCGGTCAGGCTGATCACCAACAGGGCCATGCACACCACAAAGTAGACTCCTGTGGTCACCATGGAGAACACAAGACATCAGTGTGTGTTTATGTGTATCAGTGCTGAGAGTGATTGATGAATTGTGAGTATTTTGCATATGTTTTTGGTGTTTTATAGTGAGTATAGTGTGTTTCACTATTGAAATGAGAATACTGCCTGTGTGATTTTGCTATTCAGATAAATTTGTTAGTGTTGTTTATGATTTGACTGTTTTACTGTGGATATCCCCAGTGATTTCATTGTTCAAAGGACTGAGCATGACTTCAGGGAAGAATCACGAGTGCTGTGCAAGATTGCCATGTCGAAATGAGAATCATGTCATAGCTGAGCCGTGGGGATGATGTGATTGGCTACCGATGAGTGGCGTCCCGATGGCCGTGGCGGGCAGCGTGTCAGAGACGATGATGAGGAACACGGAGTAGCCCAGCAGCAGGGTGATCTTGAAGGAGACTCGTTCCCCGCTGTCAGGGGGCAGGTAGAAGCCCACGATGTCCATCACCATGAGGAAGATGCTGGGCAGGAGCAGACTGACCGTGTAGAAGAGTGGTCTGCGCCGGATCACCACCTGCAACACAAGCCAGAGCATGGCAGCATGAGGCTGTGCTGCCTCAGGTGTGAAGCCCACATATCTGCCAGCGGAGGTGCTGTAACAGGAAGACCTGGTCAATTCCTACAGCCCCATCCTTACCTGTAAAGAACGAAACATCCACAAAGCTCATTCCTGCTCTGTACCAGAAAAAGGCAAGAACACCCAGCGGGAGCCTGGAATGTGGGGCGAGGCTACACAGGGGGTGGGGCTACACAGGGGCGGGGCTACACAGGGGGTGGGGCTGCACAGGGGCAGGGCTACACAGGGGCGGGGCTACATGAGTATCCCCACCCACAGTCGTATCCATTGGCTCTGCTATCTTTCAAGGCGGGCCTACACGAAACCGACGTATGGAGAGCTATCTTAGACAAGCCATGTTATTATTGAAAGGAGTTACAGCTAATATAGCTAATCAGACTAACTTTAATATTTAACTTTATCGTTCATTATAACACACAAAGAAACCTTTCGATGAAGCCATCATGTCATTACGGTCATTACATCTCTGTGCTCATGGACGCGTCGGATGTAGCCCCCCCTCATCGCCCAGTCTGCAGATGGCGCGCTTCATTAAAAAGGTCTTCAAGTCAGATCAAAGTCTCTACTAATACACATTAATATAGATAAAATATATGGAGGCATACATTGAACTTTATCTCAGCGTAGTAGTCTTCCTCGTCAATGCTGAAGGTGTTGTATTTGGACAGGATATGGAGAAGCTCCCATTCTCCCTGATTCATGAAAACGGACTTATCATCCTTCACCTCCTCGGGTGACCTTAGTAGGGAGATGTTGATGTCCTTAACTGCGGAAAATAAAGCGGGCAATTTCAGTTACGGAGCTACTGTTTCTTTAAAATATTTTTCTCATTTGTTCACATTTATTATGCAGTGTCCTGTAATTGAATAGATCTGAATCTGCAACCTCCCAAATCCTTAAACCCTTCGCCAGTTCCCACCTCTGCCGAAACCTTAATTGCCCCCTAACTGGAAGTGATTTCTGCTGGGGCTGGTGGACAGTCTTACTGGTGTGGAGCCAACTCTGGAAGGTGAGGCTGCAGTTCTGCATGTCGAAGGGGAAGTTGTAGATGTTCAGGCTGCATGCCGTCACCACCTGGATCGGCTTGTAGTTGCGTACTAGTCCGTTATGCTCCACGTAAACATAGGGGATGTCGGGGGACTTGCCCACATCCACACTGATATGAAAACAAGATTTTCAAAATGACTCCAGTGGAACTGACCCACGTATGTCTCCAGAGCCAAGCTAAGATGATACACCTAACAGTTAATATGAAGGAACTATACTCACAACTCGTTGATCAGAATATCCGGCATCCACACGCTGCTCATAGGAACAGAGACTTGTTTCACATTGTCGAAATCTTCGGGGTTCCAGGAAAGAAACTCGTCTATCCATTGCTGCGTGTCACAGAGACCACAGTAAGAGAATGACGCGCTAGGACACGGGGGCGCTTTGTACACCGATGAAGTTAATTTCATTTTCAGGGGGAAACTTCCCTCTCTGCACCTAGGAAGGCGCTCTGTGCTGCATCTGTAACTTATTTTACCTCTCTAATTACGTGAAGTGCGGCTCGATGGACCTTTCTCGGCGGATACGCAAGGCATCTACTCACGGGCCTAAATTTGATCTGGAGCAGAAATCCTATACAGGACGGAAAAGTGTGGACACATTAAGATCTCTCTCATACCTGCCGGTACCATATGTATGTCGTCAGAACCTGGTTCTTTTCATCCTGCGATGGGATAGAAAATAATAGTATGCGGTGTTGCTTAAAAATGAAAGTTGACTCCAAAATATGACAATAAAATGTTAATACGTACCACGCTAAGTATTGCATAGACCATCAGGTCTATGGATACCATGGTGGATCGTTTCCAGTCTGTGACGGGACGTACTCCCGTCTTATAGCCGTCGCTTAAGTATTCTGAGAGACGGACCAGCGTGGCATTGGAAAAACGGCCCGGGGCATTTCTCCTGTCTAAGCAGACAGCATGGATTAATCTTTTCAGATGCATCCATTCTTAATCGAT